GGAGTGGTCGTCCGTGCCGACCTCCTCGCCCCCCCCCCCCCCCCCCCCCCCCAAGGAGCGGCTTCCAGACGCTCCTAACTCACAATCCAGGAGGGCGGTGGAGCGGAGGCAGAACAGGGGGGGGATGGAGGGCCAGGTCCACGTGGAAGTGGACAGACCGGGGACTGAGACAGTGTAGGCAGAGCAGAGAACCCGGGTGGAGCCGGCAGAGCAGGTGGAGCTGAGGACCACCACAGCTGAGCAGACGGGTCCGAAGATCCCCACGGTGAAGCAGAAGACCACCAGAGCAGGACAGGAGACCACCAGGCCGGAGCAGAAGACCACCAAGCCAGAGCAGACAGAGCAGAAGACCATCACGATGGCGCAGACGGGACAGAAGCCCACCAGGGCAAGACAGCAGATCACCATGGAGGAGCAGACAGAACAGGCAGAGCAGAAAACCACCACAGCGGAGCGGACAGAGCATAAACCCCTTGTAAAGACTGGGACCTAGGGAAAACTGAGACACAAGAAACAAAGAGAGCATATACGGTCTCAAGGACCGAGGCAGAGGACACAAGAAGTTCCTCAATATTTTCTCTGATGACAACTGAGTGGGCAGATATTTCAAAACCATGCTTACTGACTGAAACTAGACAATCAGACAGTTCATAAACGAACTCCCAAACTAGGACTGGCAAGACAGACAATTCAGATACATTTGGGGGAACAGAACAAGCAGATAGTTCATGAATTGTCTCTATGATAGTGACAGGGTTAACGGGACAAACATGGAATGCATTTATGGTTTCTGGGCTCAGAACTGGACTAATGGGGCAACTAACAGGTTCCTTGTTTTGAACTGGACAGACAGATGGTTCAACAGACTCATTGGGGAAAATGGGACAGACAGACAATTCAAAAACTGATTCATAGGTTGATCTAGGACAGACTGACGGTTCATGATCAGACTGATTGACAGAAACTGACAAGACAGAGAGTTCAAAATCAGCATATAGATGGACAGACAGATCACAATCAGCCTCCATGGCTGATTCAGAACAGTACGAGAGTTCAGAGATGGCCTCCTCGGCATGTTCAGAGTAGGATAAAAGTTCATAAATGGCCTTTGTAGCCTTGACAGGACAGGCAGAGAGTTCACAGATGGCCTCCATAGCCGTGACAGGACGGGCAGAGAGTTCACAGACGGCCTCCATAGCCGTGACAGGATGGGCAGAGAGTTCACAGACGGCCTCCATAGCCGTGACAGGACAGGCAGAGAGTTCACAAACGGCCTCCATAGCCGTGACAGGACGGGCAGAGGGTTCACAGATGGCCTCCATAGCAGTGACAGGACAGGCAGAGAGATCACAAACGGCCTCCATAGCCATGACAGGATGGGCAGAGGGTTCACAGACAGCCTCCTTGGATGGAACAGAACAGGATGAGAGTTCACAAGTGGATACTACTGCCACCTCTGGAGGTTCTACAGCAATACCAGCAGGAAACAGGGAGAGTTCATTAACATTCACCTTAACAGGACAGATACGGAGTTCAGCAACGGTCACTTTGACCATGACAGGACAGATGGAGAACTCATAAACGGCCTCCTTGGCCGTGGCTGGGAAGGCAGAGAGTTCGTAAATGGATACCACTGACACCTCTGGAGGTTCTGCAGCGGTTGCCGCTACCTCTGGAGGTTCTACAGCAGTAACTTCAGGAAACAGGGAGAAGTCAGTAACGGTCTCTTCGACCGCAACACGACAGGCTGAGAGTGCATTGCTGGGCGCCACCACCACGGCCAGTAACCGTCTCTGCGACCGCAACACGACAGGCTGAGAGTGCATTGCTGGGCGCCACCACCACGCAAGGAGCTGAAGCGAGCGTCTCCACCTCGGGAGGTTCTGTGGTGGTGTATGCAGCCCAAACACACCATAGAGCGATCCCCATCAAGGGAAGCGCTTCAGTCAGAAGAATCAGTTCAGGAACAGGAGGGCTAGACTGAGTGGGTTTGGGGATACCAGCGGCGCGTGCAGACACCAGCGGTGCATCCCTCACACTGGATACCAGACTGGTATACCGAAGGACTGACCTTGAAGATCTGGGTGCAACAGACAGGATGTGATGAGACTCTGAACGATCAGTTGAGACATGACTGGACTCATAACGAGCAGCTGTGACTTGACTCATGATGAAGATCAACCGTGACTTGACTGGACTCAGGAAGATTGACTGTGACTTGACTGGACTCAGGAAGATCAGCTGTGACTTGACTTGGCTCAGGAAGATCAGCTGTGACTTGACTTGACTCATGAAGATCGACCGTGACTTGACTGGACACAGGAAGATCGACCGTGACTTGACTGAACTCGTGAAGATCAGCGGTGGCTTGACTTGAGGCATGAAGATAAACTGTGACTTGACTAGACTCATGAAGATCAACTGTGACTTGACTAGACTCATGAAGATCAACTGTGACTTGACTTGATTCATGATTGGCAGCTGTGATATAACGGGGCGCTGTTGTGTCTGCCATTTTGTGAGCATGCTCTAGTGCAGCCGCCATTACACGAGTGAGTGCGGGGTCGCGTTCCTCCACGACACCCACAGTGAACGATGAACCAACAGTCAACAAAGCATGATTCATAAATTGAACGAGAGATGAATGGGGACCCTCACCGATTAAATGTGATTTGAGCGGTTCATTTACTCCATCACAGAAAAAGTTTATCAATACACTGTCTGGAAAATCGGAATAACACACAATGTCCAGATACTCTTGAATATAGCCTTCAAGTGGGCGTGTGCCCTGCTTTAGGGCTAATAACAGTTTTGCAATGTCCATACCTGGCCAATGTCCACGTGAAAAGCTGCTGTATCCTTCTAGGGCCGAGTATTCTGTAACGGAGCCGACGAGATGAGAGGCATGCGGATCCATTTGCAAAGCTTTATTCTTAAACATGGTCAAAACAGGCAAGGGTCAGACAATGGCACACAGGTATATCGAGGGCAAGACAAGAGTAATCCAAAGCTGGCGTGGTCGATCGGCGGCTAACAGTATCCAGAGGGCTTGACAAGATAACATGAGCAATAGTTCAGGCAAGGTGCAAACACAGTCCGAACGGCAAGACGAAAGGGATAATCCAAGATAGGCTAATAATTCCAGGGCAGGCAGCTGACAGACAGGATGAGAAAAACAGACTGGAATCAAAACACCGGTATAACAAGACTAAACTAGGAGAGGAAACTGGCTCCATAAAGTGCTACCACTTAGAGAGCGATAAACACAAACAATACTCAGCCTTGAATGGTGGTGTGAGACTGATTTATATAGTGTGTGTTATTGGTAGCAGCTATGTGTGATTAGTTTCAGGTGAGCTTGTGATTAGTGCAATGGAGCATGGGAAATGTAGTTCAGGGTGATGTGTAACAGTCTGTGTGGTGTGAGTTAATATCATGGGAGGGTGACCTCTGGTGGCAAGTAGATGGACGTTCATGGACCGGATTTATGACAGTTGTTCTGTGTCTGCACAGCATCGTAAAAAATGTAAATGTATTTAAATATTTTGCATAAAACTATTTATTATTTATTTTTAAAAACAGTCATTTAATTAATTGAAAAATGAATGAAAAAAATCATCCCCAGATAAATAGCTAAAAATGAGCCAGTAATATTATCTGATTATTTTCAGAAACGTTAACAAGGGCGCATGGTCTTTTCCTTATTAACATCCATCTGAATGGGTGGAGTGTCTAATGAACTTTAATAGTGAGGTCCTGCTTACTGGGATTGACAGCCAAACCCCTCCCATTCTGTCTCCTCAGCATGCTTTTTCACACACAAACATATGCACACCCTCTCACACACACGTCCAAACACAGTTACACATCCACAGTCTTGCACGTCTGGACAGAATGATCAATAAAGAGTCACAATCTTCAGACCACCTTACAACAGCCTCACGCAGAGGGGTAAGCAAATACACCTTTTATCACTGTATTAATAATGGCATGATTGTTACAGAAATGTATGTATTTTGTATTTGATATTTGTTTTCTTATCAGATCATGTAGGATTAGATCATAGCACAAATGTTTGGTTAGATTTATGAAGAATTTCATTGATTTTGTTGTACTCTTTTATTGATTGGTATGATATATCTGAAACCTGCCATATAATGTTATATCTCTACAAAAGAGCAATTTGTGGGCTTGCATCTCAAAATAAATATATGTGTATATAATATGTGACCCTGGACCACAAAACCAGTCTTAATTCACTGGGGTATATTTGTAGCAATAGCCAAAAATACATTGTATTTGTCAAAATTATAGATTTTTATTTTATCCCAAAAATCATTAGGATATTAAGTAAAGATCATGTTCCATGAAGATATTTTGTAAATGTCCTACTGTAAATGTATCAAAACTTAATGTTTGATTAGTAATATGCATTGCTAAGGACTTCATTTGGATAACTTTAAAGGTGATTTTCTCAATATTTAGATTTTTTTTTTGGACCCTCAGATCCCAGATTTTCAAATAGTTGTATCTCGACCAAATATTGTCCTATTTTAACAAACCATACATCAATGGAAAGCTTATTTATTCAATCTCAATTTTGAATAATTGACACTTAAGACTTTATGGTCCAGGGTCAGATATATAATTTAAATAAGCAATTCCATGGTAAGATGTTTTGAATGACAGCACAGAAGCAGTATTAGAAAGATGTTAATACTGTATGTCTTTGAGTTCAAAATGCTAACCACTTTCTTTGATCAAATTAGAAACTGAAACCATAATATGGGTTAGGGTAAGAGGCTCCAGGATGATATGAGTACATACTTATATCTGGTTGAGTAGGGTACAAAACTGAGTGTGCTCCTGACCATTTTTACAGAAGATAACAAACCTATGATTGACAGAGTGCCTGTGGGCTTGACAGTGTGTGGAAGAGTTTCCGAAATCTCACAACATGGCACTTTTAAAAAAAAAATTCCTCAAGCAAATGCTGAAAGTCATTAGTTGGGGAATTCATTTAGAAAGTAACATTTTTATTAACAGTTCCCAGGCTCAACAAATAACCCTCTTCCTCAATTACTCACTGTAAAATTAATTTGTCAGTAAAAAAAAAAAGCTTAATAAAGGCTTAATAATTATGTAATAACATAACATCTAAATTGAAGCATCGTGATTGCAAGGTTACATTAAGTTACCTTAAAATTTAAAGTTCACCTCATAATTTTAAATGCACATTTTAATCTTTTATGCGCATGTTGGATAAATGATTGCTTGATGTCTAGATTCAAAGCATGACTACATGGTTTTCTAAAGTAATTGCCAATAAAATGTTTTTTTTTTAAATCCCCTGAATAAATTTTTTTTCCTACTTGATCTTCTATTATAAATAGTGTTCAGCTATTAGTTGCATGTTAATCAATCTGGAAATTTGATATATTCATCTTTTTGTCTGTAGGTGAGGATGGCAAAAGTGGCAATAGCTTTGGCCGCCGCCTTTATGCTGGCCAGCATAGCAGTCATCATATCTATAGCAGTTGTACAAAATCATAAGAAGACTTACATATCCCGTGGATTAAAGGTAACATTATGTCATTTGAGCATGCATGATACAAGTGGGAACCTATTAAACTGACTAATAAACTGGGTTCCCTTTAGAGTGTATAAAATTATGAGGCATAAAAGTATAATTGGTGCTTACCAGTCATGTTCAAGAATAGCTTTTCCTTAACTTATTTGTTATTTAAAAATATATAATATTATTTGTTTAATAATATATAATATATGGGTTTCCTATTAGTTTTAGTGAAAACAAATACTTGTTTTTTTTTACAACACTCACCGGAAACCTGTTTCTACACACAAAAACAGTGGATAATCACCATTGATGGAGTTATTTAATTCCAATGCTGCATCCTTAATATTAAGATAGATGATCCTTTTGATGGCTCATAAAGTCAATCCTTGAATATTTTCCCAACGGAAGAATGTGCTTTTATTAGTTTCTTCCAAAAGGGCTTCAGGCATTTAGACATGTCTGTTCTTGAATGCTTGACTCAGTCATGATTTAGACCATGGCAAATTGCTATTCATCAATGCATTTTGCGAAGAGTGCAAATGAATAAGCTCTTTATGGCTTTGCAAGATCTTGAGTAATTTGTATTTTATCTTGTAACAATGTCTTTCTTCACTTCTGTTGCTCTCTCTCTCTCCAGTATGGTATTGTTTTGGATGCAGGCTCCTCCAGGACCACTGTGTATCTCTATGAGTGGCCTGCCGAGAAAGAAAACAACACCGGGGTTGTGAGTGAGACCACAAAGTGTGAGGTTGAAGGTACAAATCAACTGACCTAAAACCTCGGAAGGTTTTTGTAAAGACATGGCTTATTCTTTACAGTGAATAGCTCAGAGATATAAATGGAACTTTACATGAATTCTGCCCAAGTTGGGTGGTCCATGATGTAAAAAAATAAATAAATAAATAAAATGATAATAATAATAATAATAGGATCAATTGTGAAAGCATGTTTTATACATCAAATGTGTGTATGCTGAGATCTTGACCTTCACTATTTAATCACTATTTAAGAAATAATACAACATAATACTCTCACAGTTTGCAGGTTGACTGTTCTTTCACAACATTTATTGAAATAGGAAAAGTAAAACATAAATAGTTGGTATATTAATAATTATTTTTAAAAGATAAAAAAATTATAATAAGTATAGTTCTTTACTACATTTTTTACTATTGTTCTTTACTACTCGTTTAACATAGGCAGTGATAAAATAATAATGCAACTTAAACATTTTATATATTACAGAAAGTAATGTAATAATAAAATGTGTCTTTTCAAGGCCCTGGAATTTCAGATCTTGGTAAAAATGGGGATCAGGATGAAAAGACATTGAAAAGTTTAAAAGATTGCATAGAAAAGATAACTGAGGTCATTCCTTCCCATCGGCATAACTCAACCCCAGTCTTCCTTGGGGCAACAGCAGGGATGAGGCTTCTACAGTAAGAACGATTTAAACAAATTCCATTCCTTAATTTTTTTTTGGTAATATTTTCTATTTATGTTCTTATCTCTATTGCTATATGTATCAGTTGAGCCATTTACTGTCATACTGAGAGTTCAGTGTTAGGTAATAGAATAGAATATATATAACATAATATTAGATAAAAGACAAATGGCCTCATGCACGTTCAGAGTGTTAAAATTATGTCCAAAGTGTTCAAATGATGTTATTTCTCAAATAACAATCAATTTTCAATCAATCAACAAATAAAATATCTAAATATTGCCCATAGCTTATGCTTAACATTTCCCCAAACAATGTCAATACGTGTACAGACTGCACTGCCATTAGCCATTTAATGTAGGGTTGAAAAAGAGAAAGGAGTTTCATTATGTTTTCCTGATTTCTACCAGAAATGTTTATATCAATATTTTCTTTAGATGCATTATATTAAGTATTTCCCAACATAAAACTATAATGACTATAATAACATTAAAAGTGACTAGTTTTAAACACAGCAAAGGTGGTCTGTCCCACCCCAGTGGTCGTAATGTTTTCCAATTTATTAAATAGTGTTAAATGCTATTTATATGTAGTGCAAATAGTGGCAGATATTATTTGAACCTCATTGTAGTTGTAGTACATTGTTAAATAGTGTTCAAGAATAACAACATATCCCTTGTATATGATACATACATCAATGTATGCTGCCTTAATGGGACCTTATCTTAACCATATTGAACCTGCTGATCAGTAAATGTGTCATCAAAGGTCCAGGAAGAGGATTTGAGCATGAGCCACAGTTCTGATAGTGCACAATATGAGCTTTACGTGTCATGGTCGATGTGCCAGCCCATTCGATTAACAGGATTATTTTGTCATTTTGTCTAGCTCAACCAGATAGGGGATGGGCAGAGCTAGTGTAAATAACATTTGCCAACAAGACGGGAAATTTTCACTCCAATATTTTTAATGATTAACTATTTTAATGACCAATTACCTATTATCATTACAAAAAGGTAACACTTTACTTAAAGCATTTATGTATAATGCATTATAAAATTAGTTTGAACGCATTAAGTATGCATTGTAATGCACATTATAATGCATTGTACAATCACATGAATAATTGTAACCACATTATAACACTTATCAATTCATTGTTACACTATGTATTTTAAATTTGGTTGTAATTACTTACGACAAGATATAATGTATTACAGCACACATTTTGAATAATTAAAATACATTATACCCTTTATTAGCCTTTTATAATGCATTATAAAGGCTTTAAGTAAAGTCTTATCATTTTGCATAGTTGTCACGATCTCTCTCTCTCTCTCTCTCTCTCTCTCTCTCTCTCTCTCTC